TAGGTTGTTTTTGCCCAAGGGCCAGTAGTTGGAGGCAATGATCTCCTCCACCAGATCACGGCCACTAGAGTAGCGGCACGCTGCCGCAAAAGCCTGATCACAGGCCTCCCGCGTCGGAGACACCTCCTCCGGCGGATCCACGCGCGTGTGTGGCGCCATCTCCTCCATCCAAGAAGTCAATGGATACTCCGAGAGCTCCTCGCCATCCTCAGTTGTGCTGTGGACCCCGTAGGTCTTCACGTAGAACCATTGCTCGATCCAGCCACGGTCCCACTTGCCCTTCTGGCAAAAAGAGATCTCCAGGCGGTCCACGCCTTGGTTCCTCTTAGACATGAAAGTGCAACTACCGTACTGGTAGGTCACCTCCACCTCCTTGCCATCTCACACCTCCTTCTTCTTCTTTGGCTGCTTCTGCAGTTCATAGTATGTGCAAAAGGTGTCCACATCCGGCTCGGCACCGTAAGAGACGCACACCCAGCAGAATTTGCTAAGTGTCAGGAAAGCAGTGGGAGTCAGATGATGGAGCTGGACATTGAAGGTCTCCAACACCCGGCGAAGGAAGGGAATGTAAGGAAAGCGGAGGCCGCAGGTGAAGAAGTCCTGAAAGACCACCGCATATCCTTCCTCCGGCTCCAGAACAGTCTAACCCGGCGGAGGGATTTTTTCCCTAGAAGAAGGACAACATGACTCCTTCAGCATCTCCGTGATTGCCTCCTCAGTAATAGAGGACGGGCCAAAGTCCCAAGACTTTATCGCCATGTCTCCGGAGTCCGCGGCGATCAGGTCTCCGATAGACGCAGAGACACTCCCCAAATCCTCCTCCACTAGCTTTTCCAACTCCAACGCGGAGGCAGAGGCAAGCATGCACTCCTCAAAGCGCGCACCCCAGCCGACGGCCCTAACGCCGAGAAGGTGGCGGTAGGGTCCGGAGAAGGCGGGCCAGCGAGTTTGGGCGGAGGCGGAAAGGAAAGCCACCGCGATAGCGACCTAAGCGCGAGACGCGAACAGAAAGACGGAACACGCGAGGGCGGCAAGAGGCGAAAGTGAAGAGGGCAGAGAACGATTTCTCGAATGCAATGAAAGCGAATGAGCGGTGTGGGGGGGGGACCCCGCCGCTAAAAGCACCCTTATATAGGCAGCGGGCAGGCGGTCTGACTCCCGCCACACAACGGTCACCTCCGGAAGATTCGCCCGCTGCACAACGGTCACCTCCGAAAAAGTCGCAGGGAATGCAACGGACACTGACACGGCAGAAACGGCCACAACGTAGGGCAACGGCTAGATTTGCCGCCCAACTGCTACTCTCAATGAGACCAACGGCTACGCCAGAGCGGACCAGGGGGGAAGTAGCGGGGCCTCGCTCGAAGACACCGAAGGCGGCCTCCGCCCCCGCGGACGCCTTCGGCCAAGGCGTTTTGAGCTCACGGCACGCTCCGGCGAACCATGGTCTCAAAAGGGGGAACTGTTGTAACATGGCTTTGGCTGGTGGCGAAGGCCCCGACAGCGGGGTATGGCAAAGGCGTCTTCGACCATCTTAGGGCGGAGACCCGGCGCTGACTAAAGGAACTTTCTCGGCTATGCTCGAAGGGTGCTGAATCTCCTTTTCATCGCGGACTCCGCCATGGCCAGGCACGCATCCCGCCGACCGCTCAGGCGGGCGTCTCCGGTATTACGGGCGGAGGCCGCCTTATCTCTAAACTAATCAAACAAACGATCTTGCCTAAGTGTGTGCAGGTACTCAAGCGTAGGCGCTCGTGGTCCGCGCAAGCGCGCCAGCATGGCCCCTGCGTGGCCGGGCGGAGACCTTCGGATGATGTCTCCGCCCGGACCGGCGGAGACTCTCCAAGGCAACGGCGCCCCCCTGAAGGTGGAGGCCAGTGGCCAGGCGGAGACCTGCGGATGATGCCCCCGCCCGGACCGGCGGAGATTCTCCAAGACAACGGCGCGCCCCTGAAGGCGGAGGCCATCGGTGAGAACCATGGCCCCCGCGCGGCCGGGCGGAGACCCGCGGGTAATGTCTCCGACTGTCCGGCGGAGACCCACCGAGGCAGCGGCGCCCCCCTGGAGATGAAGGCCAGCGCCGGGGACCCAGGCCTTTGGGCCGAAGACCGAGCTACAGTGGGCCGACTGCTCATGGAAGCCCATCACTTGAAGACGGTATGGCAGGATTGCCCCGCGAACAAGAGGCTAGCGGCGGAATATTCCAGGAATGTACTGTAGCAATTGAGGGGCGTTGTAATAAATTCTGTTATGTAGTAGTTGAGTCCTATAAATAGGGGACACTTGTAACCGTGGAGGTTGGTTGGTGGACGAATTAATGAAACCATAGCTTTCCGTGTCATTCCCTTACTCACCGCTCTCCCCCTCATCGTTCTTATTCCGAGTCTCAACCCGAGGCCAACCGTCCGATGGGCGGAGGCCTCGGTCTCTTCCACGTAGTTTGAAACCGCCAGTTTCAACAAATACTAGTCGTCTCTTCATGTTATGCCATTCGAGGTGGTCTATGGACGGTTGCCACCGGCGCTCATCTCCTATTCGCTGGGCTCAACCAAGGTCGTGGTTGTGGATGATTAGATGAGGATCATAGATGAGTTCCTCGCTGAAATACAAGAACGCCTACTACTAGCCCAAGATGTGATTAAGCACTAGTAGGACAAGAAGAGATGCCTTGTGGAGTTTGCTATTGGTGATTGGGCGTGACTCTGCCTTCACCACAGGATGATGTCAGGCATCACACTCTAGCTTCCCCGTCTAAGCTTGGCCTCGCTTCTTTGGGCCGTATCAAGTCACCGAACACTAGGGTACCACCACCTTTCGCATATCACTACTACAGAAATGAACTTGCGCAGCGTTGCATAATTGGCCTCTGTGGCGGGCACTGTTTTTGCTTGCCATGGTAATTTGGCGGCCGGCCGGCCACTGAGACGCCCGCTGCGGTAAATGATTTACGGCAGCGGGCAACCTTATTTGCCCGCTGCGGTAAATCCCCATTTACCGCAGCGGACATCTTAACGCGTCCGCCACGGTAAATTGATTTACCGTGGCGGGCACACTAAAAGGCCCGCCACAGAAAAAGGCAAGGCCCAAATGTCCCAGCGCCGGCCCGATAGTTGTCTTCATATATAAGCCAACACTTAGGGTTCCCTTTCACTCCTCTCACCCCCTCGCCCTCCCTCTCACTCTTCTTAGACGCGGCCGCACTCCCTTCCCACGCGCTGCATCCTGAGAGACGAGCCCCTCTCCCTCGACCCCCACCCCTACACTCCCCATCCTCTATCTCTCCCGGCGGCGGCGGCGCTCTTCTTGGCCGTGGTGGCGCGGCTCGCGCGGGCGGAGGGCGGCGCGGTGGCGCTGCTCGTGCGGGTGGAGGGCGGCGCCGTGGCGTGGCTCGCGTGGAGGGAGGACGGCGCTTTGAGGCAGCTCGCGCGGGCGGAGGTTGTCGCGGTGGCCCGTCCTCCACCAGGCTACAGCGGCGTGGCGTCATCTCAATCCACCTCCATCGACGGCCACGGCGGCGGATCTGCCCCGGCAAGGGCGTATCCGACCCCGGCGAGGGTGGATCCGGACCCGGCGGCTCCACGGCGTCGATCCGGCCACCAGCGGCTCCACGGCGTCGATCCGGCCACCGGTGGCTCCACGACATGAATCCACATCTGGTGCCCCTCTCCCGACGGCTGGCGGGCCTGTCGACGGCGGTCCAGCGAGGTGGAGCTCAAGGCGAGCTCGCATCGGATCCCGGCGGCGCTAGGGTTTCGGTAGGGTTTCGGACTATTGGGTTGGAAACGGGCTCGCCGGTGGGCTGAGAATGGGTTCGCTGGCGGGCTCCTGGGTTTTTTTTGTTTTTGAAAAACATTAACCGCGGCGGGCAAAGCCGCCCGCCGCGGTTAAGCCACGATTTACCGTGGCCTCTAGGCCGCGGCGGACGCTTTGCCCGCCGCGGGAAACCGAAAACGCCCGCCTCCAGTAAAGTTTGTGTAGTAGTGTATGAAAACGCCGCGGGAAATCGAAGAAGGCCAAGATTCATGATGTATTCCGTGTCGCCCTCATGAAAAAGTATGAGGGTGCTCTGCCAACAGCGATGGCCCCATTGCCACCCTTGCTTCATGATCGTGTGGTTCCAATGCTCACCAAGATTGTGCGTGCCCACCTCAACCATGGCCAGTGGCAGCTCTTGGTCCATTGGGAGGGTCGCAATGCAACTGATGCAACATCAAAGTCTTTAGCTGATTTCATGGACCGTTACCTGGAGTTTCAACTTGAGGACGAGCTTTTTGTCATGGAGGCGAGAAGTATTGTGGACTCCTTCATGGACCACCAATACCGTCGTCGTCCTAAGCAACAGGCCAGCCCAAGCTGTGGCTAGGGCGATGTCGACGGTGTGCGGATCCAGCCGTGGCTAGGGCAACAGGCCAACCCAAATCCACAGAACTCATTACTTGTCAGCTTCATGAGTTTTTTCCTTGTTTGCTCGAGAGAGCCAAATCGGCTCATCTTGTTGAGCAAGGTTCTCATTACTTGTGCCAACTAGGCCAAACTAGGCTAGCTGAGCTAGGTTTATACCAAACTTGCCAAATAATAGCAAACCTAGCAATGATACCAAACATACCCCATATTATGCCAAATACAATACTATTGATTGCCTTGTTTTACTTCCATGAGAGTATATATATGATTAAAATATATTATCCATGCTTGCTTTTGCTTGCTTTATCTCAACTATGCAAACACAAAACTATACTATATCTTGATTATAAATGACGACATTAAGGAGCTGCTAATATATCTGATTGGCTGTCATGTTTTTCCTAGAATCCGGTCTGTTTATTCACACCGAAAAAATGTCCGAGTGAGCAATATTTTTTAAGTGTGATAATAATTCAGAATCATTTTTTAATAAAGAAGCACAAAAATGTGGAATAGGAACAAAATTCCCCCTGATACTAACAATTCCTCCAAAAGTCGAAAAGTATTAAGTTTTCTCAAAATCTGGTTGATTGCAGGTTCATGAAAGATGAGCTAGAAACTATGCAAGCAATCCTGGTGGCCCCTGAAGTAACCAAGAAAAAAGATAAACTGGTGAAGGTCTGGGCAAAGCAAGTACGAGATCTGTCATATGATATTGAGGATTGCCTTGACGAGTTCACAGTACACGTGGGAAGCCAAAGCCTGTCACAACAGATGATGAAGCTGAAAGACCGTCACCGGATTGCTGTCCAGATCTGCAATCTCAAGGCAAGAGTTGAAGAAGTGAGCAAGAGGAACACACGCTACCACTTAATCAAGACAGAGGCATCCAACACCACCATGGACGAGACGGAGTCCTACTTGGAAGATATTCGCAACCACTCGGCTAGCAACATCGATGAAGCACAGCTTGTAGGCTTTGATGAACCCAAGAAGAAGTTGCTTGAGATGGTACAAGAAGTTCGTGCCAATGATGGACAAGCACGTGTTATCTCTGTGGTCGGCATGGGAGGTTTGGGTAAAACTACTCTTGCCAGGAAGATATATGAAAGCAAGGAAGACATTGCAAATAGCTTCTCTTGTTGTGCATGGATCACTGTATCACAATCATTTGTGAAGACAGAGCTCCTCCAAAATATGACTAGGCAACTGCTGGGTGAAGAATCGTTGAAGAACTGTTTGATAGAACTTGAAGGGAAGGGATTGCAAATCAATGACCTTGCCAGCTACCTCACACGGGAGCTAAAGGATAGAAGGTACTTTGTTGTTCTTGATGACTTGTGGAGCATTGAAGCATGGAACTGGATTCACGGTATTGCTTTTCCAAGCACAAATAACAAAGGCAGTCGGATCATAGTAACCACACGTGATGCTGATATAGCAAATGGATGCACTTCCGGTGAATCCTTTGTCTACCATCTCAAACCCCTAGAGGTAGATGATGCCATACAGTTGCTACTAAGGAAGGCACGGAAGCATCACAAAGACCTAGAAAACAATAAGAATTTGAGGGACACAGTAACACATCTGGTAGAAAAATGTGGTTGTTTACCACTGGCTATTCTCACAGTAGGAGGCATCCTTGCCAGTAAGAAGATAGAGGAGTGGGGGAAATTTTATAACCAACTCCATTCGGAGCTTGAGAACAACCCAAGCCTCGAACCTGTGCGAAGGATAGTAACTCTTAGCTACAGTCATTTGCCATCCCATCTCAAGCCATGCTTTCTATACCTAAGCATTTTTCCTGAGGACTTTGAAATTAAAAGGAGGCGTCTGGTAGATAGGTGGATTGCAGAGGGACTGGTTACTGCCAGGGGTCGAGTAACAGTTGAGGAAGTTGGAGAAAGTTACTTTCAGCAGCTAATCAGCCGAAGCATGATTCTACCAGCGAGAGTAAATTTCGAAGGAGTTGTTAAGAGCTGCCGTGTTCATGATATCGTGCGTGATACAATAATCTCGATATCCAGAGAGGAGAATTTTGTTTACTTGACAGAAGACAATGTAGCTGGAGTAGTAGTTGGAGAGAAATTCCGTCACGTGGCATACCATGGCAAGAGCTGCACAAATGTTGGAGTGGATTGGAGCTGTGTCCGATCATTAACTTCCTTTGGTGAGAGACCAATGAAGCCCCAACCTTCACTTTGTTCACCGGAGTTGAGGATGTTAAGAACCTTGGATTTGAAGGATGCACAATTCAAAATCACTCAGAATGATATCAACAACATAGGATTATTGCACCACTTGAAATATATGAATGCTCAGTATGGTGGTCCAATCATGAGTCATTCAAATATTTATGCACTTCCCAGATCTATTGGTAAATTACAGAGTTTACAAGTCCTTGACCTAAGGGGCAGTTGTATTTCAGGACTACCAACTGAGGTCACTAAACTCCAGAGTCTCCGAAGCCTCCGTTGTCGCAAAAATACAGTGTTAAATAGTTTCGACCCCAGGTGGCCATTGATATGCATGAAAAATGTATTGCGCCTGCCCATAATGTTCACACCCCTAGTTGATTCTGAAGACCGCAATAAAATGATTGCTGAGGCACACTTGTTCTTCTCAAGCCCTTTTTCTTATTCAAGAGTACCAGGTGTGCGGGTGCCAAGAGGAATCGGCAACCTAAAAGTGCTGCAGATCCTAGAGGTTGTGGATCTCAAGGGCACTAGTACGAAAGCAATTGAAGAGTTGGGTGAACTAAGTCAGCTAAGAAAATTAAGCGTGACGACAAGAGGGGCAGCAAAGGGAAAATGCACGGCCTTTTGCAAAGCCCTTGTGAAGCTTGTCTCTCTCCGCTCTGTCCACGTGGAAAATTGGGGAACACTTGAGTGGCTAGGTTCTCCTCTCTCCCCTCCCCCGCTGCTAAGGAGCCTAAAGTTGATTGGAAAGCTGCAGGTGACACCCGCTTGGTTTGGGAGTCTTACACAGTTGGTGAAGATTTACTTATGATACAGCTACCTAAAGGACCTGCAGATACTTGGGGCACTGCCCCAGCTTATGCTCCTTCAGCTAATTAATGATGCATATACTGGGGAGAAACTAACATTCAGAACTGGAGCATTCCCAAGTCTCAGGAAACTTGTTTATGAAGAATTTGAATATACATTGACAGAGATGAGGTTTGAGGAGGACGCCTCGCCCCACATGGAAAGCATACATATCGATCAGTCCCGGCTAAAGTCAGGGATTATTGGTATTAAGCACCTTCCAAGTCTCAAGGAGATTTCACTTGGTAACAACTGCAAGGTGGCAGGACTTAATATGCTGCAGGCGGAAGTCAACCAACACCCCAATAAGCCCGTGCTGCGACTGTTGAGGGACCAGAGCCACCATGACCTGGGGGATGTCATCAGATCCGGTGTTGAAGTGGAAGCAACCGAACCGCAGCCTGATGACGCCGAAGAGAGCTCCCAGGTGATCACAACGGCCGACAACAGGTCAGTCCTGCTCCTGCTCGCGCACCATAAGTTATCTATTTTTGAGCGTAGTTTGTTGTCAGCATGCATGTTTTATGCTTACAGCTCGTCTCTTTTCTTGCGTTGTTTCCAGCGAAATCCAAACCGTCCCCAGTTGATGCTGCCTGCTAGTGCGAGATGCCCTGTGCCCTGACTGTCCCTAGTCCCTGCAAGGACTCTGCTCCTGGTCTCGACCTGCCACGCAGATTGCCCTTATACCGTGCTGGTTCTGCTCCGACAAATACCCCCTGCTTGTGTTCTGCATCGGATTTCTTCTTACAGCTAGTGGCAGCGGTATCAGTCCAACCTGCAGCTGAATCTGAATTGGCTGTCTGTCTGATTATGATGCGTGCGTGGTGAGAGATTTTCATTCTCTGACTTATAGTCTATCATATTCTTGATACGACCTTGCTTGTGATATGCAGTACAGTACTTTACTACTGTATTTGTGAACTGCAGACTCCGAAATTTGTTTCTGCGATATCCTCGTATTTTTTCTTTTTTTAGGCTGCCTTTTTATTTTTAATTTAAAGTTATGTACTACTATGTAATAACAAGATGTTGCGTACTGAGATACTGTAATCCTGTTGTTTTCAGCTGTTAACTGCACATCTCTGCAGACCTGTTTATTTGAAAAGCAAAGACAGTTGACGGCTGCCAATGCCTGTATGTCCAGTCAATTCCCTTATATCTCAGCACGCTGGATGATGTAGAACATCCAACGAAATGGGTCACACTTATTTATCATGGTAGGCGTCCTGTTCTTCCTTAGATACATCTTGATTATGAGTTATGACATCATTTTGGCATACGATCTACTCCATTTGAATCTAGAATGCTTGGTCAAGAGTTTAACTGTTTTTTCTCGAATACGCACGAGTGTGCATATCATTGTATTAGAAGAAAGAGTTTATAGTACAAGAGTTTCATTCCCGGCCGTTAGTTAGTTTCCTGCGGACGCTACATTATGGAAAAAAACAACCACCGTAATCCATGTCTATCCTGACAAGGACCTAGCCCTGCGCTAGCGCACGTAGCCCGCTTGCTCCGGCCTGAATCCATCGGTCGGCTTCGTTCTTGATGATGTGCAGTAGGTCGCCGACGGACGATGTCGATTCCCGGAAACATCTTGCGTTCCGTTCCTTCCATAGTTGCCAGGAGACGAGGGCGAAGAGGGAGTCCATACCGTTTCGCCGATCGCCGGTGCACACTGACCGCAATCGGCGCCACCAGGAGAGCGTCGTTTGGGAGACTGGTGGAACTTGCTGCCCAAGCGCTTGCAGGACATAGTACCATACCTCACGGGTGAACGGGCATACTGCAATGATGTGGTCTATTGTTTCCTGTCCTTGGTCACAGAGGTAGCATAACTCATGTGCCTCGAGACCGTGTCTCGCCCTTCTGTCGCCGGTCCAGTGCCTTCTTTTCATGGCAAGCCAAATAAAGATCTTGATGCGAAGCGGAGCCCACGTTTTCCAGATCAATGTATGGCTCGACATTACGATGGATCCAGTGTGCATCATGTCATATGCCGATTTGGGCTGTGAAGCATCCGTCGCCGTCCGGCGCCAAATGGTCCTGCTCGGGCTCATTGCCAAGATGGATGTCCCCAACGCTTGCCCAGAGATGTAGGTAATCCGTGAGCTCGAGCACTGAGAGGCCTCCACTTATGCAGCGCACCCATGTGCTGTCTGGAGGCCTTGTCTGACCGTTAGCGTGCGTCGCACCCGCCGTGAAATTCTCTGGTGCAGGTATGGGGCGATAGTGGCGACGTCCTCCCCGTCGATCCACCGGTCTTCCCAGAACAAAGCGTTTCGCCCGTCGCCTAGCCTGGTGAAGGTTGACGCTCTGAAGAAGGCTTGGACCTCCTTGGAGGTCTGGATCGGCAGCTGGTTCCACGCCCGATCTTGATCGGTTCTCTGCAGCCACAGCCAGCGCGTTTGTAGGGCGAAGCCGGCTAGCTTCAGATCGCTGATCCCAAGTCCACCGAGCTCCTTCGGCCTGCAGCAGGCTTTCCACGCAACCATGCACTTTCCTCTGACTGACTGGTCCTTCCCGGCCCAAAAGAATCGCCTGCAGATGCCGTCGATCTCTTTCCTTGCCCAAGTGGGAAGATTTTCTGCCATCATGGCGTAGATGGGAACCGCCCGTAGGACCGACTTTACCCAGACTAACCTTCCACTTCTCGCCATTAGCGAACCGTGGCTCGGTGGTAGCTTCCTGTCGACAGCTTGTACTAGTGACTGGTAGTGTGTTTTGGGGATTGATTTGGTACTGAGCGGCAGCCCCAGATACTTGATTGGAAATGTCTGCACTTGACAGCCGAGGATGGACACAATTTCCGGCAGAACGTCGTCGGCTCCGTAGATGGCAGTGACTGAGCACTTGGCTAGGTTTGTGTGCAGCCCTGTTGTCTGTCCGAAAATGCTTAGAATCTCTTTGATTGCCCTTGCCTCCTGGATAGATGGCCGTACGAAGAGAATGGCGTCGTCGGCATAGATGCTGCATTGGAATTTGATTTCCGAAGGGGCTATCTTTTTCAACACACCGTCATTTGCCGCCTTACTGAACAGTCTTTGGAGGACGTCCATTGCTATTATAAATAGCATCGGGGATAAGGAGTCCCCCTGCCGAACCCCTCTGAGGTGCCTGATGGGGTGTCCTTGCTGGCCATTCAGTAGTATCCTCGACGAGGCGGTGCTCAATAGCGTCTCGATCCAGCCGCACCATCTATCACTGAACCCGTGCGCTTGCAGTACCTCCAGCAGGAAAGGCCAAGAGAGGGTGTCGAATGCCTTGGATATGTCAAGCTTCAACAACAGCATGGGGATTTTCTTCCGCCTGATCAGCACTGCTGCTCGCTGCACGTACTTGTAGTTGTCATGGATAGAACGGCTTCTGATGAATGCATTCTGGTTGCTGCTCACCATTTCATTCAGTCGAGGTGCTAGGCGAAGTCGAGGTGCATTCTGGTTGCTGCCCTCGCGTTTCTGGAGTACTAGCTAGATTCATCAGAAACAGAACTGTTAGTGATTCTAGATGTTCTGTGACATCTTAGTTGCCATATTATAACGTGTTAACGCATAGAATTCTGAATCGGTAGGATTTGGACATATCACACAGCTGATTGTCTGAATGCCATTAAGTTTCACCACGACCATTAGCATTTTTTTTACTCAGTCTGGACATAGGATATTCAGATTACAGTTACAATGCGATCCAAAAGAAACAAGTTTGCTAACCAGTCTGCAACATTAGCTTTTGCATTGTTGTCATCTTCAATACACCTGAACATTTTGTTACAGGCCAAAATACACTGCAGAGGTTTGTAACCAGTCATCAAAGTGCTCCTGATCTTCATTGTTACAGGCCAAAACAGACGTCAAACGGTGTTGTTCATTATAGTTTGCAATAACAGTTAGCCCTTTATTATTTACCATATCGCTGCCCGCATCGACACTGCTTGTTGTGGTACTAAAATGACCGTTGGATGCGATCCCTCGGGTGGAGAGGCTGACGGCGATCCTGGTGATCGTGACGCCGCTCTTGCTGGTGGTGGTGATCGATCGAGCAGAGGATAGCACAACATACACAAAGCTCCACAGCAGGATCCAGCAACCAGATGAGCAGAGCAGAGGATGTCGTTGTCTTGCCTGAGCAGCACGGCGGTGCCGGTGAAGCGGGAGTGGTGCGGCCTCAGCCGGCTCAGCGCACACCGCGGCCAGTCGTGCGTGCACGTCTTGTCCCCGCGGGAGATGCTCAGCACCACCAGCACCAGGGCTGGAGCCTACAGGACGAGCCACCGGCGGCAAGGGTATGGCGGCCACGACGACGTCGGCCATGAAGGGGGACGAGGGCCGCCGTAGCCTAGACCCTGCTGGCATCCTACTTCTGAGCAGTGTTCGACATCAATGTTACCAAGTTATCTAGTCGATCCTAGTCGTCATAAGATCTAATTATATTTTAGAGTATATATAAGATCAAGCATGAAGATAATTCTAGAGTGGGGGCTGCATTAAAAGTTGTAAATTGGAGGGGGAAAAATATGAGCCCAAATAGCTTCGATGCAGCCCATGTTCTGAGCTACCAGTAATTCCATCCTGTTTCTGGTCATTTGGCGGCCCCTAGTCGTTCGACTAATCTTGATTAGTCTTCTGATAATAATTAATCAATTCTGAATGTCTTCGGTCAGGCATCCAGGCTGAACACAAATCTAGCCAAATTCTCCATCACACCAATATATGGGGGACTGGAAGCCTTAGACGACATAGTATCCATCCTCGGCTGCCAGCTTCAAGATTTCCCTATCAGGTACCTTGGACTTCCACTCAGGACGAAGTCCATACCAAAGCAGCATTTCCATTCATTGGTGGAGGCGGTAGCAAGGAAATTGCCACCGTGCCAGGGCTCCCTGATGGCAAGAAGCGGCAGGCTGGTTTGGATTAAGTCCGTGCTGCGCTCGGTTCCTATCTATGCCATGATGGCCGAGAACTTGCCACAGTGGGCCCGAAAGGAGATCGATGCCATTTGCAGGAAATTCCTGTGGGCGGGGACTGATGCATCAGTGCGAGGCAAATGCATGGTGGCGTGGCCAGCAGTTTGCAAACCAACGCAGCTGGGAGGATTGGGAATCAGTGACCTCAAGCTAGCCGGATATGCCTTACAGACCAGGTGGTTGTGGCTGCAGAGAACAGACCATGATCGTGCATGGTCCGAGCTGCCAATCCAAACCGCGCCGGAAGTGCAGGCCTTCTTCAGAGCGTCAACCTTCATCATCATCGGTGACGGGACACAGACCCGCTTCTGGGAAGACAGGTGGATCAGTGGTGAATCAGTTGCAGATTTAGCACCTTGCCTATACCAATTCGTGCCTAACCGAGTGAGGAGACGGCAAACAGTAAGGCAAGGATTCATCAACAGAGCATGGGTTCGCAGCATCTCTGGAGGTTTATCGCTGCAAGCTCTCACTGAATATCTTCACCTTTGGGGCACGGTGAGCAACATACATCTGACCGAGCAACCGGACAAGACAGTATGGAGGTGGACTCAAGATGGCAAATACTTGGCCAAGTCTGCATACAACATGCTACATGCTCCTGCGATTCCTTTCTTGGGACACAGACTCATATGGAAGACTTGGGCTCCATTGAGGATCAAGATCTTTCTGTGGCTCGCCTTCAAGCGCAGGCATTGGACGAGCGACCAAAGGGCCAGGCATGGGCTGGAAGCAAGAGAGATGTGCTACCTATGTGATCAGGAAAGGGAGACCATCGACCACATCCTCGCCACTTGCCCATTCACCAGAGAGCTGTGGTACTTCATCCTGCAGGCCCTGAGGAAGAAACCGCTTCCTCAAGTAG